CCAGAGACAAAATCAAAGATGTATCGTCTACTTGCAGCTATATTGCTGCTATTTTGTACAAAATAGTGGACATTACTCAGGGTCGGATCTAACGCTTGAACTTTAACCATCAACCAATCAACAAAAAAAGCAAAAAAGATATTTTGTGAGAGATATATTCTACCTTTTATATCCATTGCTTTACTGCTGTCTTCAGGAACATCTCGTTCCCTGCGCTGACTTTTATCAAACTTCATTGATTTACCTGTAATACATATTTGGAAATAAATGAGAAGAACTAATGCGCATGACAGTTATGTTCAAGTACAACGAGAGTCAGTGGAATAATTGTAATATTATGCAGAAAACCACTGGCTTGTGCGAGAATCTGTATGGATTACTTCATAGAAAGTGCGACGGGGTTATATTCACGGGTTGTTTGTGTAAAAACACGGTCGAGCGAGGTACGAGCGAGTGCTTTTACACAAACAACGAGAAAACTTCCTTAGAAAGATAATTTAACGCTGATTAAAAAAGAKGAAGGAAAAATGGGGTGTCCCGAGCTCGTTTTCGAGACCATCTTGACAAATTTTTCAAAACAAAAATTTGTCAAGGAAAATTAAGCTTTGCACACAAAAACTCAAAACTCTGAAATTAGAAAACCCACATAAGTAATTTTCTCAAAATATCTTCTTTAAACTCTAATTTCAATAAATAACTCAAAATATGCGAATAAAGTTTTGAAAATAAAATCAAACTCAGCATTTTGTTCGTTTGATGAACTGAAAAGCGTACTTAAACGATGACAACAAAGACACACACAAAGTCATGATTAAATCAATCACTGCCAATCCGATTTCAGGATGTGAAAGTTATTATAAAATTGATATCATTTATAAAATATGAGAGATATAACGCGCACGCTGCTTGGCTGGTTACTGTGTTTAATATCAGAGGACAGAGACACGCACAAATTTGGTTTCACATCATATTGTAAACCTTCAAGACCTCAGCTGTGTCATTCTCAGTCTCTTCAACCTAATCCAATGTTAATTAATTTTATGAAATAAATACATGCAAGTGTTTTAGTTTAGAAACACGATGGCACTGGCACCACCTTCCTGGATCAATATATTACAAATAAAACTAAAACAAGGCGGATGGGATAATTAGATGGAAACCAGGTGGAATTCTTTAAAATAAGCACATATATATCTTAAATATCCAGAGTTAATGATATACACTGTGTTTTTTTGTCCATTTTCGATTACATCCTATTTTATTATTGACCATATCTCTTTAGAATAAAGCTATACGTTTTAGTGTGAAATAAAAACTATATTCCCAAGTGATTAATCAAAATACAGAAACCATTAGGGATAAGCTAAATGATGATTGTTGACAAGCCTACACAGTTTCAAGAGTTCCGAAGGATTAAGCATTACACCTGTTATTGCTAGGACATTTGAACGAGCGGTATATAATACATTTTGTAAACAAGATCTAGGACAATAAGAAGATATAACTAGCTAAAAACTAGTGTGAGCTGCATCGGTGTTTCTCATGAAACAGTTATGATAAAAAAGTAAATTATACACCGTGAAAAGATGAAAAAACGTACTGACGTTTCGGACGCTAGTCCTTCGTCGTCTAGAACAATACATTAGAGAAGACCAGTTTGCAGATAGGACAGGCGACAGCTTCACAAATGCGCTCCTCAAGATGCAGCATGTTATCTATCAGTCTCTAGATAATTTTACAACCCAGCAGGCTGTGCGCGTTTTTATCATGGATTTTTCTAATGCTCTCGACTATGTTAAACACAGCTCGTTGTCAGAAAAGCTGAAAAAGGCTCCGTTAAATCCTTATATAATTAATTGGTTTATCAGTTTTCTTTCGGATATTTGGTACTAGTGAGAAATCTGCAAAGTAGGTTCTTAACAGGTTCTTATTTGCAAGAACATTTCGCGTGACCCTAACCTCCTTAAAAAGAGAATTTGTGTCAAAATGAACATCAGAAATGGAAAGAGTACCTCAATATTAGTGAGAGGGCAAAGTTTCAGCTCATAACAGGTTGATCTAACTAATACCAAGTTGCTCTTTTTATTTCTGATGTTCGATTTGACACATAAACTTCTCTTTTTAAGTGTTAGGGTCATGTGACCTGTTGTTGCAAAAGGCTTATTGGATAAGGAAATTTGGCCATTTTGTAGTTTTAGTATATCGTCTTATAGGTATTAAAAAAGAAATTAGGAATTTAGCATTCTTGATTTTAGAATCCTTATTTAAAAAAAGAAACATATTGACACCACGAAATTTTAATTTGCTTTTTGAGAGGAAATGTCGGTACCGCAATCAACAATCAACACCATGAACCAATTAAAAAATTAACAAAACGATACGTTGTGAGAAATATATTCTACCTTTCGGATCCATGTCTTCAGGAACATCTCGTTCACAGCATACTGAGTGCCTGCGCTTTATTCTAGCATTCTTCATTGGTTTACCTGACATGGATATTTGGAAATACATTAGAAAAGAATTATTGGAATTATAATGCAAACCATCAAAACTTATGTACAAACTAGCTCATACAGTCGATTGCTTAAATTGCTACTGTGATCAAATTGTGATGTCTCCAATTTTATTATTCAAACACGTTAAAGTATTTTACAAAAGAAGAAAACTGGTGTTTTTTATTTTTTGTTAGCATTTTTTGGTTCGAGAGATATTCAAGTATTAAGTTAATGCTAATTAGGAGGTTGATGACGTCATTCTCAACTCACAGTTTGCTTATAATCTCATGCTGGCTGAGTATTGAGAATATGACGTCATCAGGAAACATGGCCGCCATTTTATAACCTCCAATATCTTTTGAAGGAAAAAAAGATATTTGAAAAAGTAGATCATAGATCTTTCAATACAGGCAAAAAAAAACAGGAGTGGGGATCCCGACTCATTCCTCGCCACAGGGCCGCTACACAGGCTATTTCTTCAAAAAGAAAAAAACTAAAAGAATTCTAGAATGCAACACTTTGTTTACAGAGAATCAACACCAACAGCCAACCAACAAAGAGAAAAAAAAGCTATACTTTGTGTGAAATATATTCTACTTACCTTTAACATCCATTGGTTTACTTCTGTCTTCAGAGACATCTCGTTCATAGCATACTGAGTGCCTTCGCTGACTTTTACCATTCTTCATTGATTTACCTGTAATACATATTTATACAAATACATAAGAAAAGTAATAGAAAATCAATAGTTTGAAACATTCAAAATTACAGGGAGTATGGCTGTAGGTTGAATCTCTGAAGCTATAAGGAGCTACCTTTATACATATGTATCATCAGGCCTACTCTGGGTCCTTCCTCTGCGTTAGATCGCCTAACATCCCCTTAGACTACCATTTCGATAAACAGATTGCATTGTGGTCAATAATGAACAAAAGTTGTTTGTACCCAAGCTAGACCAGAATGCACCACGTTTACTATCTCAAAGAGGTGCACGGTGAGGTCTGAATATGAGTCATAATAATTCATTATTGGATGATGTTTTGATAATATCCAAAATTGTCAATGTTTCAGCAAGCGTTATTGGCCTCGACATTAATTGATAATTCCGGATATCATCAAAACTGAATTCAATAAATGTTTTATTCAACATTGTTCTAATAGATTAACTGATAATACAAAGATAGAAACGTTATAATAAACTTTATTTTAAAAGTTTCAAAATCATACATTTAAAAAAAAACTACAGATAACCGCCATCCGCCGACCTATACAGGCTCGTTTTTGCAGATAACTCAGTATCGACCACTCGCTGATGCATGCTGATAGCTAGAATTATCTGTAGGTTCTCAACCAATGAGAATTCAGATAGTTAGAACAATGTATAATAACAACCTTTGTTTTCCTTTAGCAAAACCCAAAACACATAATTTTAAATATGCCCATCCATGGGATATGGTTGTTGATTGCAATTAATATTTTGTTAGCAAGTGGGAAAAGGTAAAATATTCTGTTTTGTATTGGTTAAATCTTTGAAGTACAAGTGGGCACAAAGTCGAACCAGGGAGGGGTGCCCACCCCCTGCACCCCTCCCCTGGATCCGCCACTGCTTGAGCCAGTCCATGACAAATGTTTTTTTGTATGCACATACAATCAGACCTTGGATGTTTAGTGGGATTAAGTTTGTTAATAAAGTTTAATGCTTAACGGGGTTGGTCAATCTTGTATATCATATATCATGTATCATGTTTCGCCTTGTGGCTTGTTGTTCATTCCGAATAGTATATTATACGTTGCTAGATTGATAGAATTGTTGTTATTACCACTCCCACCTGCCCTTATGGCAGTTGTATTATTATGTTCCAGTGTATAGTGTATTAAAGCTGCCCGCCCCGCTTTAGCCCATGCAGTGGTCACGTGTATCATTATTTTACATTAAAGAGTTAAACTTAAAACAATTACTAATGCTAACAGTGTCGGCTTGTCTAAACCAACCAAAACCATATTTCATTTTGAGAAATATATTCTTACCTTTTACATCCAAGAGGATAAGATTCCAAAGAACTGCATGGTATTCTTCCTCATCTATTGTAACCTCCACATCAATCTCTTCTCCTTGGCTCAGTTCCTTCAATTCTTCCTCCTCATTGAGGGATTTTTTCAGTTTTTCTTTCAACGAGCCATCCTTGTAGCTCTGCCATAGACGTTTTAGTGATGAAATGCTTGAGAGTTTTAAGACGATAACAACCGAGCCACTAAAGAGTGCAACCACTCGATCCAAAAGCCCTATAAGTCTTTCAAAGTATTGCAGTTTTTCAAGATCCATCCCATATATACCAATAAAGGTTGCTCCTGCTAAGGTTAGTAGAACTCCTTTTACTGATATTTCAGTCTTCAAATGTATCACTGTTCCTGAAGAGAGATTATATTCACAATAAGGATGTTTCAATCTGGGGCCTTGGACTCATGCAGTCTGTCAAATAGAACTTTTAATGGCCAGCTTTTGATATTCTAAACCTACTCTGTGTTATTACCCTGCATTAGATAATCTAAGATGACCACCTTAGATTCTATCATTTCTTCAAATTAGATCACCTTTGATTGCAAAATGTCGCCTAGCCATTATATTGACTAAGATTGGCTTGGTTGCCTTATGTTGCCCTATATCGCCTAAGCTTATTCCCCATTTTAAAGGCCACTTCATGATGGCCTTACGTTGCCACTCCCCGCAGCAGGGTAAGGACCCAGATTTGTCTGACTTTCTCTTCATTAGAAGATTTGATCCCAAAATCAAAATCGTTTCAGATAGAGTTTAAATCATCGAGGACATTYTTTGCTTTATTGTAGTTGCTTTGTGTTTGCAATTGGACCTGGAAACACGTCACAAATTAAAAGCTCTCATGAGGTCCTAAGCATCATTGTGTGGGACACCCTGGCTTTATTTAACTCACCTTTAAACCTGTCCCATATAAAACCTATGGAAAGAACAAATTCAAGAAAAAAACATTATTAGCTTCAAATCAGCCTAAATTGAACTGAATCAAAATCACCATGTGGTCTACTAGTGGCTGGGTGAAGTTAATTATATATCCATTTAATAAGTTGACATCAGTCCTTTGTGTTTATCCTCTAGATCTTATTGACAAGAAATTGCATCATTACAGTACATAATTTCTCAAAGAGGGGAAAAAACATTGACATTGGGACTGGGAACTCTACAAGGCTTTTATTTTTAATTAAAAAAACCCCTTCTCATAACAACACCCTGTCATTTAGAAAATAGACCAGAAACCCCCCCTCCCCCCCAACGTTTCATAAATAGTGACTTACTTGGTTCCTAATAATTATTACATGCACCAGAAATCAATATAATGCAACATAAAATAACTCACCTGAAGCTCCTTTTGCAGCTGTGAAAAATAAGAAGTCATTYATCAATATTATAAATAGACTAATAATATTATAGACAACAACATATAAAACAAGGTATAAGTCACAAACTAATAAATAAATAAATTGTCATCATATAATTACCATTGAGTGTTCTCCTGAATATTCCTGAAAGAATATGTTTAAAAAAATATGAGAACCTACATGTATACATGTTTGTATCACAGGCAGCCCAAGCACCATGTTCTTGTGTACAATTTACTGTAAATGTAATCTGCTATGGTTACTAACTCAGGTGATAGATCATAGCAACAATATTTTTCAAACTCTTAACTTTCAATAACAAAATAATAACATGCTCTTTCAAGTCATGATATTTTTTCGTATTGAAAATATTAAAGATGTCAATGCTAAAAGTACAAACTCTCCATTCCCTCGTCAGCCAATAAATATTGCTATACGACTCTGAGAGTTTTAGGTAATTGGTGCACAAAATATTATTTATATAATATAATACAGCTGTATTTAATATTATTTACATACTAATGTGTGTTTAATTTAATGCATACCAGGGAAGGGGGTGGGGAGGAATAGGACTTTTGATAGTGAAAAAACTGTCAGAAATGGTACCCTTTTAGGGTTCAAATATAGATCTGACATTTGGTATCTCTAAGGGTGCCACAAATCTAACAAGCCCACCAGAGAGTAAGCTGGTACCTCTTAGGGTGTTTTACAGGTAATACTGAGATACCCAAGATTAGCTCAACAATGTAAGCTGGAATTACAATAGTAATGGAACCAGGATATAATTTATTTTTGGTTTATCATCTGACTTTTCTATCACTTTGTGCTTATAGATAAAATAAAAATAATGAGTGTTAATGGTACATTTAAGGGTAAAGATCATTAGTTTTCCATATGCTCACTTGAACAGGACACAAGTACCTTTCAGAGGTCATTCTCAACATTTCCGACAAGCATCCCCACCTTTTTATATGGGAGTCCCCTCTCCCCCCTCCACCAGAGATGCATGCAACTCTTTTTTCATTACTTTGATTCTATTTCCTTGAGAATACAGTAAGTTGAATATCCTAGCTTATGAAAATATCTAGGTTAAAGGTGTTTTGATAAACAAATTCTATGAATAAGATAAATGGATTGTTACATAATATGGTTCTTGACTGAACTTCTCCTTACATTACCTGCATTATCCGCTTCGTACTCCCCAACTTTTTGCTTCAGTTCTTCTAATCCACTCTTCTCAGCTAACACTTTTAATAACTTCACATTGTCTACTTTAATTACACCTTGTTCTTCCAAGACTTTTACAAGTTTATTTACATCACTGATTTCTTTTAGTTCATTTTCAGTGAGTTCAGGGAGAGATCCACGAAAACAATCTTTGAGCTCAGCTAGAGTGCCCTTTCCATCTGCGATATAAGCTTGAAGTTGACGGATAGTTTCTACCCTAAGATAGTCATACGAAAAACGCTTTTTCGAGTCTTGAATTCCCATGGTTGGTAAACATCTAATGGCATCACCCGAACAATCAGCTTCGTATTTCTCAACTTTTTGCTTCAATTCTTCTAATCCAATCTTCTCAGCTAACACTTTTAATAACTTCACATCGTTTGCTCCGATAAGACTTTGTTTTTCCAAGGCTTCTACAAACTTTTCTACAGTATCAATTTTTTTTCGTTTATTAACAGTGAGTTCAGAGAGAAATGTACGAAAACGATCTTTGAGCTCAGCTAGAGTGCCCTTTCCATCTTTGATATAAGCATCAAGTTGACGGATAGTTTCTACCCTAAGATTGTCATACAAGAAAAACTTTTTCCAGTCTTGAATTTCCATGGTTGCTACTGAACTTCTAATGACATCACCTGGACAGTCCGCATTGAATTCCTCTAAAGCACTCCCATTTCGTCAGAATTTACGCTAAATAAATATAAAAAGCATAAAAAGATATGTTCAAATTTATATTTTATTACGCATATGTATCAGTCAATTCCAAGGGTACCCATCGTGAATCTCTTTTTGACATGACCACTGACCAGAAATTTATCATTTGTCAAATCTACGCGACAGGTACGTCGGGCTTCGTTTTTCGTCAAATGCCCGACTATGCGGACAAGTGCCTAAAGCAAATGCCCGGGGTTGTCCAGGGTACATGGGCACCCTTGAAATTGACTGATACATTAGAAGTAACTGAAAATAATTGCGTATAATATTTAGCAAATCGCTCATAGATTTCCATTGACTGTCTTCTCATTGATATATCATAGATGCATCTTAAAATGTCAAAACTCAAGTGGAACCACGAGCGCAATGAAAAATCTCATCCCATGTTTCTTGAAATTTTCTTACCATGCCAATAAATAATTGGTCTATTTACAACTGGTGAACAATCAAGTTGAACTTTGAACATGCAAGGTTTATATTTTACACTCCACAACAGTCAATCTTATACAAAAAAATTAAACATATAACCCAGCGTGTATCATAAATTTAAAAAAATGTTTTAAAAATAATGCAGTGTGGAATTCAAAATTACCAAGTTTGATATTATTAGCTATAGGACAATAAAACACAAGATTGTTCAGACAGAAAAAAAAAATTAAGCGATCAAATCTGTTCAATATCAGTAAAACAATACCCAGTTATCAACCCAGCAAAAACTGCTTGGAATCTAAATAATTCTTATTTATCTTCAATAAGTAAATCGATATTAGAATCTATTTTACGGAGATCAGCTATAGTCGCACCTAATGTTTTTGTTCTTCGTTGGGGCTATTTATATTATGCACAGCAGCTTGTCACGGTCTCAACACGTCTAACAGTCTTTGACATTGACGGAGAGCCGTCAATCAATGAAGTGACGCCATACAAAGGGATCAAAAGGAATAGTCTTCGTTTACAGGCGAAGCCACACCAAACAGTTTATTAGCGCTCAAATTTCTTAATTTCAACGTAAATTCCATCGTTATGCGACCACACTTTCAATAAATATGATTTCAATAGTTCACTTGCAGTTAAAATACCTACCTGTGTAGCGGTGTTCGTTCTGGTACTTCTGTGTGATTCCTATGTTAGCAAGAACACTTCAAATGTTTTCCACTTTCAATACCTAGATAATACGAATCTCGTCAATTCAAATCAAATTGGAGGTTTAAAACTAACTTAATCTCACATGTTCGTTAGAATTTCGACTTGTCTTAAAAGTAGTTTACCTTAATGTTTCAATCCCAGGATTTATTCCACATTCCGTGATAAACTTCACTTCCGCGTTAATGATCGTCCGTCGCTTCGAAGTTCAGCTTGTTTTCTBTATCAGACCAACAAAAATGCATCAGCCATTTAAAAAAGAAACTGTTTAAGATTAAACTTGTAGACTAGATTTACTCCATGTCCGATAGCACTGCACGAATGATTCGTTTCTTTATACTGCTTCCAAATCAAAGCCAAGTCAGTCAGCTATTTCTACTTCGAACCTTGCAATTGCTACAGACAAACTTGGTTCTTAGTACACAATATCTCGTTCATGTACAGGCATAGTTAGTTTATTGGAACTTGAACTTATGCTTATTTATTGGTAGAAGAGGGAAATAAGACTTTATCCTACACAAAAACGAAGGTGAAACTCAATCATACAAGAACTAAACAACAAAAATAAAGGCTAGCGCTCCTTATAAAACTAGAAAACTTTTNGAACCCTCTAAATCCTTACCTTTAGCAAGTACTCTACTCACTAACTATGCATTCAGTTAGCCTTAAATATAACAGCGACACCAATTKCTCTAACTTCTTCAAAATGTCTGTAGTTTCTTCGGCAACCTGAGTCTTGAATGTTATATAGTTTACAGTCTGGTTGGTTTGGTGCTGTGCTCTGTAGGTAACACCCAGGTTATTATTCAACCAATAGAATCGTTGTATGCAAGCTATGACGTAAGTCTAAGCCAATAAAAAAATAATTAATCACTTAAAACTGAATTTGAAGTGATCACGAAGCAGGACCGTCTCAGCTAGTGGCCACAGCGGGGCTCGAACTCATTACCACCGGATTGCGAGACCGACGCTATGACCACTCGACCATGCTGCCTTCCATAACGAGTCGTAGATTGCGAATGTGCCACTCACTTGCTCACTAATGTGATAACAATCTTCATTAAGGGAAGCTCTTTCACCGTACAAAGTGATTTTCAAAGATGCCCTAACATATTAAAACTAAATAAATAAAGTATTAAATATGAAAATAGGTTAAAAAGTTTAAAAAGTTAGAAGCAATATATAAAAAAAGTATACTTAAATACTGAAAAATATAAATAATTAAAATAGTTATTATTATAGCTATGTAGATGTAGATATATATCTAACAAACGTATTGTAAATTCTTTGTAATATATATGTAATCTAATCAGAGTAATTTTCTAAATTCTTTTAAATTTGGGGCCGGCATTTCTTACAGAATTATCTAGATTGTTTCATTCCTTCGCCGCATCAAAACTAAAACATTGTTTGCCGCAAATTGTGCGAACAGTAGGAAGATGTATGTCTGAATGGCGGCGAGTACAATAATTATGTAAAGATTTGTTTGTTAAGAAATTGAAATCATAGAGTGACCACAGTAAATCCGTGAAACTTTAGTAATACTAAATAGCACAATTTCATGCAAATTCCATTGTTTTCTATTGTTTAATTAGCACTATTTTGTACTTTTTAGTAATTAGTGTTTTACGGATTAATTGTTTGCACTCTAGTCTATGTAATTATTAATATACTTAAAAACTGCAATGCAGCGATGGCGACGTTAAGGTAATCCAATTCAAACGTTCTCGAGCTATAGTAGCTGAGAAATATCTAGAAAGGTCTAATATACATCTAGCTGCGTCATTTTGAAGAATTTGTAAATATTGTATAAGAACCTCGTTATTCTTGTCGCCCCAGACTAAATTTGCATATTCAAAAAGAGGTAAAATTAGACTATCATAGGAAGCTAAACGGGCACTTACAGGTAGTAAGTAATAACACAGCAAAATCAAARGTAGSCCTAACTACGCTTCTGTGAGAGTTTTACTAAGAGTTTGTATAATGCATTTGGATTATTTTTGTTGTACAAATATTTCATTACTTTTCTCTTTAGCACACGCAGGGGTTCCYAGACGGTAACGAAAGTTAAGGTTTCCTGTCGTCTCGGAATGGAGGTTAGATTGAGCATAACCAACTAGGCTTTCAAATTTATATTATTCCCAAACTATTGAAATAAAACTTAATCTAAAGAAAGGTGTTTGCCATATTGTATCCTTAAACTCTTACTTTGTGAAAATTTATTAAAAACATTTCCCCTAAGTATATATATTTGACCAAGCACTTCAAACAAACACTTCAATGGACTAAATGAGCTGTTACGAAATTCCAGTGCACTCGAACCATGAACACTTCAGTGTTTTTTTGACATTTTTTCATAACTATCCAATCACAGTTCTCTGTAGAAACAAAGGAATCAAACACCATATCACAACAAACTGCGGAAAATCTTTAGATGTTTTATTTTTAGCTCACTCCGTGTGAACTAATGAACTGCTATATAGATTATCGCAAAAGTGCACTTTCAATAATTTACACTAATAAAACAAAAATATCGTTTATTGACGAAGTAGCTGTTATGAAAAAATTGATACACTTTATGTTGTAAATTTTTCCACAACCCAAGAGACTGAAACTGCACTAAATAATGTTGGAACCTCTGTTAGAATCTGGCTTCTGATTGTATTATTCGAGAAACGTTAAAAAAACCTTGAAGTGTTCATGATTCGAGTATCCGCACAGTAAATGGGTAGCTTCGAAATTAGAATATTAGCATAGCAGAACCAGAAGACAAACACACGAGGTTGACCTAGGAGGGACGAGGAAGCCGTAAACCATGCGAGAACTAGCTAGCCAGAGCAATATTGAGATAAATTTACAGCTGTACTGATCATTCTGCTCTGCAGGCCACGAGATAACTCAAATGTACAGAACTATTTCGCCACTCAGATCGAAATTGAATTGCTGGAATGTCATAGTCTTAGGCAGTGAGCCACAATGCACAAATTGCGTTTTGGAACGGTTCTGACTAACCTGTTAGCTTTGAAGATACATAATGAGGGCAATATGAAGGAGAAGGCATTGAAAARGTTGACGTTGCAGAGAAAGAGAAGGATCTGGGAACGAGGTTGAGCCGGCTGCAGGTTTTAAGAAAAGTGACTAATATGCTGATTACTTCTCATATATGAGACCGCTGAAAATAGACGCCATTTTGAAAATTGTTGTATTTCTACTCGGATCGAACCGGATTTAGTCAAAGATTATTTAACACACATAGAACGTTCTCCCAACGTGCTTTAATGGCGGTTCTCTCTTTTTACACACAGGGATCCCAACATGATAATATTAACCACAGGTATCCCAGACACTACATTCCCTCCCCTTTTGGGAAAACTAATTAACAACAACTGATTCAACTGTCACTGTCCTAGCGCATAGTCCTTGAGATATGCTGGTGGTCGCCGGTCTCTTTTCGGCCTCTGTTGTACTGTAGTTCCTTCATTCTCTGGAGTTGCAGTGTGCGTTGCTTTCTCTATGGCCAGTTCTGGTACTTCCAGCTCCGACTCTACCTCCTTTGTCTCTTCCTTTAGGAGCTTCATGTGTGATGTGTTGCGCTTGTATTCAATTCCATCCTGAGACTTGACCACAACGTAACTTGGTTTCCAAATTTGCCAGTGATTTCATATGGTACAGGTTCATAGCTAGTGCTGAACTTATTCTATTTTGTCTGATCCAGGAGGATCTTGTCTCCGACTTTAATGCTACTTTCCCTAGCATGCCTTTTCACATCAACGTAATCTTTAATCTTCTGCTTCATTTCAGCATCCTTATCTCTTACTTCTTGGTATGTTTCGCTATTGCAGCGACGAATATCGGGAATCTTCGAAAGAATCTTCCTCCCAAACATCAGCTCCGCTGGACTCGTTCCGGTTGTCGAGTGAGGTGTTGTCCTATATGCCAACAAATAGGTGTTGCATGATTTCTTGTCTCCAGTCCTTTCCTTGAGACTTGGCAGTCTTCATAGCTTTCAGCAGGCTTCTGTTTTGTCTTTCCACTTCCCCGTTTGCTTGAGGCCAGTAAGGTGTCGAACCCCTGTGCTCTATACCATTCTGCTTTAAGTAGGTTTCAAACGTTTCTGCCACTAACCGAGGCCCATTATCAGTTCTGATCGACAGTGGATAACCATATCTGGCGAAGATAGGTTCCAGTGCTTTGATAATACTGTTAGCTGTAACAGAGTTCATAATCACAACTTCATAGAAACGAGTATAATAGTCTACAACCACTAACAAGTGTTCCCCTGTTGGCATTCCCCTAACAGGTCGGCTGCAACATCCTGCCACGGTTCGGTCGGCAGCTTTGTGGTCTTGACAGGTTCTGGTGGACTTGGTAAACTGACTAGTTGACATTCATAGTATGTCTTGCACTTCGGTGTCCCTCGTGGCCTAGCTCTACAACTTGCTTCCTCAATTTCGCTGGGATGACTAGTCTGGTTCCTCTCAATATCAAGTGTCCACAAACAGAGAGTTCATGTCTCCCACGCATCCGAGAGAATGCATTTCCGCAGCTCTATTAATTCTTTGTCTTCTGCAGATTCCTTCTTAATCTCTTCCATGCTTATGGCTGCTGGGGTTGCATTAGCTGCTACGAAACAAACATACTCTTCCGTCTTGTTCCTGTTGTTCATTGGAGTGTCCTTTGTAAGGCGGGACAGGGCATCTGCTATGTTGTTGGGCCCAGGAATGTACTTAACTGTACAATGGTAGGGTTGTAACTTGAGAACCCACCTCTCTACTCTGGCAGAGGGCTTTGAACTTTCGGAATAAATGTACTCCAGGGGCTTAATGATCTGTTAGCAGTTCAAAGTCTATA